GGTAGCCGGTGACCAACGATTGGTTCATACGCCATTTGTTCTTTCAGGATACTGGAGCCCATGTGCACCATTGGTTTGGGATCCGGTTAAAGCGCCAGACATTCGCTTTTCGTCCTCTCATTTTCGTAAACAAAACCCTCGCCACGTGAAGGCAGTGAGTAGGACTTCCCTGTCAGGGGCTATGTACGCGTGGCCATGTGAGAGCATTTCGAGAGGGAGAGCGGACTCTCCCCACTCTCGGCCGTACCAGGGCATTTGGGGGCCAATAGTGATAGTAAATTTAATGAAACCATATACAGATAGGTGGTTTCATTAAATTTACTATCACTATTGCTAAGGTTATAATACTTTAGAATTGACAAAGAATTTTAGTTTCCCGTAGTTGGCATTCAAGGTTCGATTGGTTAGTCCCTGAGCTGATTGTCTTGATATGGCGTTGTGCCACAAGTCCTAGTATAATTTAATGTGTTGCTAACAGTGATATCTAGATTGAGGGTTTTTTATATTTTGGACTGCTCACACAGATGTACATCCACAGTATTAAAGTTCACATTGGAACTCAAACCAGATACCAGTCATCTGCAACGCCTAATGCGTTATCCAATGAACCACTGAGGCAACCTGCTAAGGATGTACATGTGGCAACAAATATTGATCAATTTCAGTCCCGAATTTCAACAACGGGAAGTTAAAAACTTGATAACACCTCCATATCTGATTGAGGCGAAAGGTACCGTATTCGAGTTTTATTATTGGAAGTAATACCGGAATCCGGGTATAGTCAAGTAATGGATCCAAAAACGGACGCAACACACGTCATATGTTCCACTGCTAACCTTATACAAAATATACTAACACTTTAGGTTGTTTTATTATTTTCACCTAGTTTATTGTCGATTCTCACATTTATCATGTTTTTCAACCTCAATTATGATTATTTACGGGCTAAAAACAATGTTGATCGAATAAAAAACTAAAGGGCGACAAAAACAGTTTGTTTGCTATCAAATCAAATGTATATAACATGTGACTTGTGTACAAACAATTTTTTTCAGTTACATTTTTCGTATTTATTGTTATATGTAGTGAAAGCAGGTCATATGTTAACTAATTTATATGGTTTTTTGAGAATTCTATACATGTAATGTGTGAGTTATCTTTGATATATTTGGTACTTGAATGCTTGACGCTGACTTTCTAACTACTTCGCAGTCCTCCATAGGTTTGCATTTGAACCCTGAACACAAGGCAAAAAGTGGGAAGCATGAAAAATGCTTTACGTCTGGTATACATGTATAGCTGACATCAAGTTTTACTAGGAGTTAGTGCAAATTGAAATCCTGGAAATATCTTTTGAAGTGCAAGTGTCAAGTTTTTTGAAGTTGAGCTTTATGGCTTCTGCTGCATAGAGGTGATATAAACCTGGGTTACCTAGCAAACTATTAGGAACTTATTATGAAACCAACAATCCTTCCACTAGTTTGATATGATGTTTACTATCTATCAAGCAGAAAAGGGACTTAGTTTTTGATCTCGTGATCCAGTATTCTTGATTCCAAATACTTGGGTCACTAAACCATAGCTCCATACAACTTTTTTGTTCAGGGTGTATGAATTCTATTATTCATATTGATTAAATTCTGATTATATTTAAGTTTGTGAATAACTTCTACCTATAGTAAACAGAAGTATCTTTTACAACATCAGAGTAGTTCCTTATATGTAATGTGTCCAGATGTGTATGTCTTCGCTCACTGATTAATCCTAGCTTACAATTTAAACTAAACTGAAAATTTTGACTCAGTCACCGCAAGATGTAAATGTCTTGCGTTCGATGCTGTGTAGGTTTATGGCTCAGCACTTCTAAAAACGCGTAAATTAAAAAGAACTTGAGTTCAGAAGTCCCTATTTTTATCTTATGCCAGTTAGTAGTGATAATTTTGAAAAAGATGAAAAACGTGGTCGACAACTTGATGAGCACAAAAACAATGATTTGAGTAGAATGACATAAATAGCTTTTGTTTCGCTAGGTTCTCATTTCTAAGGTTACATGCATCTCCATAAAAAAATACATCGGTAGAAGGAAGGAGTTGAGTTCGTTTTTATGGGCATTTTTCGAAACAGAATGAAGATTCTACACTGTACCGTATCAAGACGTCTCTTCGGAGCAGGAAATCTGGATGACACTTTTAGACCTTTCAGAATGATTAGTGAACAGTTAAACTCCAGTCTTCTAAAATTCGCGGAAACCATAGCTATCAACCATCCAAAACTGGATTTCCCCGCTGAAAAAGAAACTGGTGAATCTAACGTAGCCTTGGTAATATCAGCCTTATTTCACCACATTACTGTTTTAGTTCTTTTTCTTATTCTGATTGTGTATATTTTAATTCTTTTTAATTCGTAATTCTGTTTTTAACTAGGTAACCTGAACACATGTTATTTACAATCACCATAAATCTGTATTCAGCTATTTCATTTATCTAAGTAGTTTGTTCGTCAATTGTATGATGTTTTGCTAATGTTTTCGGATGTATTCATGAATCCTCTCGTGCACACGGTATTCATTTGCAACATCTTTTTCAATCTTATTAATTTCATCTGAATCTACACGCACCACTTCGAACCAACTTCAACTGTGTTGTTAACTTGATTCATAATTGTGATCTTAAAATCCTAGAGTTTGTAAGAAACTGATAAAGTTGTAGTGAAATTAGATAGATTCATGTTATTTTGTCGAAATCCTTTTTCATACTGTATATGATAGAAATAAATGTTTAATCATAACTAACATGACTAAATAAATTAGTCTCTCTTTCATAGATCTAATCTTTCTTACTTTTCTCAATATTGGATGTGTTATTCATTTCATTTAGTTATTTCTCATTTCATTCATATTTTCAACACATCTGTAATTTTTTTAAACTCCCGTAGTTCGGTAGTTCGTGTTTTAAATGTTCACAATTAATGACACTTTTATTCATCCTTATTTTACTAATATAGTGTCTAAAATATTAGCTTCAATATTACATCGACGCCTAACCGAATCTCGTGAAGAGCAGACTAGAGAAAACCAGGCTGGTTTTCGACCTGGACGTGGTTGTATAGATCAAATATTCACACTACGTCAGGTCACATAGACACACATTCAGACGCCCCACAATAGTAGTATTTCTTGACCTTAAGGCGGCATTTGACTCTGTTGATCGTGAGGTTCTATGGCAGTGTTTGTCACTGAAAGGAGTACCAAAGAAGTGCATTAACCTTATAAAGGCTCTCTAATCGAACACAACTGGTTGAGTGAGAGCTTATGGCAAACTGCCACCAGAATTGATTACCTCAAGTGGTGTTCGTCAGGGCTGTCCACGTGCTTTTAGAGATAACACTTTCCATATCTAACTTTCCAGGGGTTGAACTTCTACCGAAAAATTCACTTGTTGACTTAGAGTATGCCGATGACGTAGTTCTATTTGGTGAAGACGCTGACAAAATGCAGAGTTTGCTGACCACTCTAAGCAACAATGCAGGCATGTTCGGCATGCGATTTTCTCCCTCGAAATGCAAAATGTTACTTCAGGATTGGGTTGCACCGCCACCCGAACTTGTGATAGGGAGTGAAGTAGTTGAACGTGTCGACCGCTTCACTTATCTTGGAAGTCTCATCAGCCCTTGTGGTCTGGTGTGTGACGAAATCTGAGCACGGATACAGAACGCTCGACTAGCTTTTGCCAACTTGCGTCATTTGTGGCGTAGGCGAGATATCCGTCTATCAACCAAAGGACGGGTTTACTGCTCAGCAGTTCGTTCCGTCCTACTTTATGGCAGTGAAACATGGCCAGTAAGAGTCGATGATATTCGTAGGTTACTAGTATTTGACCATAGGTGTCTTCGAATCATCGCTCGTATATCCTGGGACCACCGATTAAGTAATGCAGTTGTTATGAAACGGGTACTAGGTAAGGATGGCAAATCAATTGATGAAGTAGTGAAACTTAATCAGTTGAGATGGCTGGGACATGTGTTGCGCATGCCTGACCACCGAATGCCCCGACGTGCGATGTTTTATGGTGTAGGAGTAGGTTGGAAGAAAGATAGGGGCGGCCAGACCAAAACATGTCACAAATCCATGAAGTCACTGACAAGTGAAGTGAGCCATGTTGGTAGGTGTAGACTACCTGGTTGGGGACCGCGAGATGATAGCAACCGATGGTTAGAGACCTTGAATGACATGGCTAAAAATCGTTTGCAATGGCGCAGGTGCATCCACTCTGTGTTCTCTCAAACTCTAATCTTCTGAATTCTTCGTGTCGTTTATTTTCTTTCTAAATCTATTCCCCTGGATTATACTCCTTGAATAACCCTAATGTTCCCTATCACTACTTATACTTTCACTACCTCTACCACTATGGGATTTGAATCGACAATCGTATCATTGTGCTAATGTGGTATGACAACTCGAACTGATGTACGTACGTACGAAGTTCCACGTTGTTACTGACTGACTGATTCATCAATAAATGTAATTATTAGTAGTTTAGTGTACTAAGGACATGTAATAAGTTGAATTATTTACGAGGAATAAATGAAATTGGTATCCTATGCTATCGATAGGTGGTCATTTCCCAGAATTCTATACTACTTAGGACTGGTAAGAGAAAAGTATCTGAAAGTTCTAAGAAACTTATACCACACTTAAGCGACATCTGAACTTTTATTGTTTAGTAGTCCCAACTTATTTTGTCATCATTTGACTTGTTATAAAAGTGAAGACGTATGTATGCATACTAATATGATAAAAAAGACTTGTTTCGTACATACATATTGACTATTTTGATCTTTTTTTAGTTGTATCGTTTATTTACCGACCATACCATAAAATTTTATTCATAACACATTATTTATTGTTATTTTAATTAGCAACTCCGTTATTTGTTTTATATAGATAATTAAAGCAGATAGTTTTATCCAAATTTGTTTGTTTGTTTTTAATTTTATTTCAGAATGGCATTAAGCCCGCTAGATGCTAGTGGGAAACCAGTTACCTTGTTTTCAGTTTTACCATATCATCGTAAAACAACAGGATCTCACTTCAGGTAACATTTCTTAGATTCAGTTGACCAACTTTAGTTATTTCTCATAAAGTTTTAAAAACGTTTTACAATTAGTCAACCAATTTGTTGATACATGAGATGATAGAGAGGATTTGTAGTTTAAGCGGTGGATATTAAAGGTATTGTGCTTTCTGCGCTTTGTGTTTTGGTATCGTGAACCTTACATTGTCTTTCTAAACTATATCATCAATGCATACTTTTTAAAGAACTGTTAAAAATATATTGATGTCATCTAGAAAACCTCAAGGTTTCAGGTATCTGCTCTTATGTTCTTCAGTCCTATAATTCTGACCAAACCCTTTGTGTGGCCATTAAACTAAGCACTTTGGGATATTAATGTAACATATCTGATATCAAATGTCTCGTTAAAACTCAACATGTGTCTAATTTATCTCCTGCGCTTCTAGGCGTACCCATAATGCTTAGGACACGCGTAATTTCACACAGATCTGAACCTACATCAGTATGTAAGTCTGACTTTATTACTTAGTTGTTCCTAAGATGCAGTGAACTTTCATAGTCCTTACTGATGCTATGCGTTTTTTAAACAGATTATCCTAGTAGACTGTTTAGTAAAATTGGTGTTAAATAAAATTCATTCAAACAACTGTTTATATTGATAGTTAGATTAGAGAATAGGTTTCCTATGTAATGATCTCAAATTATTTTGTTTACTTTGCTTACTTTGATGAAGAAAACAGCTGTTGGTGTCTCCATGATGCAATGAGTTGGGATTATGATAAACACGTCTTTTCTTAGGGAACTTGGAAAAGAAATCGCATCATTATTAATTGTCTCATCGATCCATGAACAGTGACAGCGAGGCTTAAAGAATAATTATTACGGCGCGGTTAGATCTTCTTGAAAATATTTGTTCTCACTTCTATATTGTTTTGTTTTATCGGTAGCGTTTGACAACATTTCCATACTTAATCATTTGATAAACACTTTACGTATGATTCTTTTATTTAGAGTTGGACGTCGTCATATCCTTCCTCCCAGTTCCCACAAACTTTCTTCAGGTGTGCAACAGTTGCAGTCTCCCGCAAGTTCAGTCCGCCTGCCACAGACTTCTGTATCCACCGGTGTTACACATATTAAAGATCCTAACCCTCAATCCAATTTTGTTCTTAATGTGTTAAGTCTTAGCTCTTTTCGGCCTGTTAATGGCGAGGTAAAGAAATTAACTTTTAAATGTGTTATATCATTCTACTCAATCTAGATCGAAAATATACTAAATTATATTATCGTCATTAATTAACTAGGAAACTGTACAGATATGGTTATTTATCTTTATAGGTTTAATTCTGGTCCCTATGGGTTGCACTAACTATTCTGGTGATGACCTACAAACTAAGAGTGAATAGTAGAAGTTCGATTGGTACTTATTAGCGCATGGTACCGGTGAAATTGACTAAATTTTTGCTTGTTAATTTAGAGCTTAATAGTGTGTTTTACTTGACTGACTATACAGCTGTTAGACTTAATCTCTGAAAGTAAACAAATCTAAAGGTTTCTGGCATTCAATCGTAACTATTTATTAATCAGTAATCTCTTTTTGTGAAACTACTAAGTAAATAAAATTCAGGTCAATTATAAAGTATATCATCTACACAGATAGTTTTATATATGGATGGAAATTGACCTTGCCCTTTAAGAAAACCACCTGCTTCGGTTTAGGCACCCGGGTACTATCACAACCCTCACACAAATCAAATGAGATTTGTGTAGCGCATATGTATTTGGTGTCTCCTTGTACCAATATCTATGTGTTCGAATAATAAATAATAAAATAATAATAATACTTCCATTGGGATATAAATTATCCTTAAGTTAGGGTTATTGATTGTAAAAAACAAGCGTAGCATACGTATTATCCTCCTGGTATACAGACTGGGGACTCCTAAGTAGATATAATCAACAATCACATGTACTTGTCAGTTAAGTGTAAAATATCATTTGGAGTCATTACATTTGATGTTATTTCATGACCATTACATATACATAGATATATAAGAAAACTTGTGCATCGATCTTATATAATAACCTATTTAACTTATGTTTTAAATGAAATGACGACCTATCGTACACGCATATACAGTTTTTTATAATCTGGATTAATGGATATAGAATTTGAATTGTGATTTTCATCGGGGATTGACGTCAGTTAGAAAATCATTGAAAACTTGCAAACACTAGGTAGTTACTAGTTTAGGATTTCTCACCATTACACACGTAAATTCATGGAATGTTATATGATTCTAGGTAGTCGTCAGGAAACATTGCACCTAAGTTTCCTGCTGCTTATCACTCGTCAAAAGGCAGTATCTGAGGTCTTAAAGCAAGTGATGCTCCCTGCTAGGTTCGAACCTTGACTATCCAGATTCACAATCTTAGATGTTACCACGGAACTATTCATGGAACGATTAAATTCCTGTAGGAGTCAGATACTTACACTGATTAGTCAATTTACTCAGACTGGTAGCTACGTTATAATTTGCTCAATCGAATTCGACCAGCACTAAGGACTAAACAGACATGATTTTAGTCACTTCTCAGTGATCACTCATTGCACACACATGAAATCAAAATCGGTTTGGCAGCATTTATTGATTTGATTAGTTTTCCAGATATCATGAGTCTCCATTAAATTACTTATTACTAATGATTATTCAGATTTTATTTTACAATTCATTTCGGATAAATGTCATGGATTTTGTGCTTGTACCTCCACTAACTATGGGTAGTCGGATAACACAGTTACTATATATATGCTGTACTATTTAGGTAGTTCACGTGATATTCTCACATTTCTTAATCTACTAATCAAAGCACCAAAACAGACCATTATAATTTCTTGCATTATTCTGTTTTATCCAGATTTGAAAAACTGTCATAGTCATATACATAAAATACAAGATTACAACACACTGTACTTAATAAATGTCATTACGTACATAATCAAGATATTCATGATAAAAAACCAAGTAATAGATTTGTGTATTTTTGGGATAGTAAAAAGCACAACAACAGTTAATGTGCTAAACAAAAGCCCATAGTTAGGAAATTCTTACGTACCATAAACCGGTTTTTTAATAAATGGAAGACATTTATACTTGATATATATTACGCTTGGATATTTAGATATTGACTACCTAACCGCTTTCTAGTCCCCAGAAATCTACTTGTGATCCCCGAGATGTTAAAAGTGGGGGAGTATACAAGAAGCTTTACTTTGACGGTTCGTCCATTTACAGAAACACAACAGTTTTCATCGAGTTATGCGTTATTTTAAGGTTCTCGAAGCCTTTGGGAAACATGCTAAAATTAATAATAATTTAGGTAATGAAAACACCCTTTAAAATTTTTAAAAAGCACTTTGGTCGAAGTATTTTCAACATTTCCACGTTTTGTAAAGACATTTTTAAATGATTTATTAAACTCTGCTAACAGTGCTGAATCTTCAAAGAAAAGTTTTGAAAGTTTGACATTTACAATTATTCGCCCTATCCGAACGAATCATTTTAAATTGTTGGGCTTAAGTTATTTTTTTCATCAGTCAGTGGTCTAATAATATTACCTTAAATTCACTGGCACACTTACTAAAATTCCTAGTTAAATATCATTCTTTATAAGCAAAGATGGATGATGGCTAACAGTGGAATTCAGAACGCGCTCTTCGTCCTATTTGGGACTCGTCAACTGGATGTACCTGTATCCCAGAGTTGATATTCAATCCGGGACTCAAACCCAAGTATCGTTCGCTTCAAACACCATCACATCATCCACTTAGTTACTGAGTCCTGATAGCCACTAACTTGTGCAATGGGGTGAAATTTAAATTTATTTTTGCTCATAATGTTTGTGACTTAAGGCAATATCGAGGCAATCCACACAGAATGCACACATGCCCATAACAGACTGATCAAATGCAGTTCTAAACATCATTGGAAAGATTTAAACAAACAATACAAAATGAATTTATCGTATTTTTTTTCTCAAAAACCACTTTTTTATTCATCCTATCTTTTAGCACACATGTGGTTTGGCCAATTTTCTGTGTATTTTGATAGGTTAACACATTATTGTTGCTACTTTCATTAGTCGTTATTTGAATGCAAAACTGCAGAATCTGTATTGTCGTATTATTTTTTTGTTTACTATATTCTCAGACTATTTCATATGCTCATTTCATTCAACCAAATTGTCAATTGTCAAAGAATACTGTAAAAGTTGGGCATCCGATCGATATTCTACTAAATTCAGGTTTCAGATCGAATTGTGATTCGTTTACTCATTTTCACGAAGGTGAGAATAGATTATTTAACAATCAGTGCATAATAATAAACGTTTTTCACATCGCTTTTGGTCTTTTATATATAAAAAGAATTTTCCTGGTTCTGGTTAACTTTTAATCTTATTACAAATGTCTAGGATTTCGGTTTGCGATTTTTTCCCTCACCTTTTGCAGTTGTTGTAATGTCACATGAATTAGTGTTGAATGTTTAGTTGTAATGGATAGGTGACCTATAGTCAACACTGTTTTTTTTTAAATACTTTATTCCTCATCATCATGTTTAATTTAAGTGAATCTCATCAACTTTTAATCACTACAATTCTATTTATTTAATAGTAAATTAAATAAAATCTCAACATTGACTTCTTTCATACTAATTGTTATATCACTTACTAAATATCAACACATCACCTTAGTATAGTTTATTATAACCTTGATATTTAAAGTGATCAACGGAAATTCATGAACCCAGGTTTTGTAATCATTTATATTAATTACTACGTCTTTTTATTATGATGTAGTGTACTTCAGTTGTTTACTGTTTTGTTTTAACATCAAATGTGTATGTTTATTAATGCATTTCACTGGATTACTAATTTTTAACATCATTGATAATTTTAGTTAGAATTAAAATTTATGGTGTAGAAATCAACAATCTCAAACACAATTTAAAATGTGTATGTTTTTTTCCTGCCTATATACGCGCTTATTTCAATGTACTGTTTAGTATTTATTTATACATATCATATCAGTCAGTTTTATTGCTTCGTGACCACTATGCATATAGCACTTGATAGAGGTCAATCGTGTTTCCTGAGTTTACACACTAAGTTCTTAACGAAATTTGTCTTCAGTTTACAACAAATTAGTGATATTATGAAATTTAGAATGATATAAAATCATTTTAGTGAGATAGTGAAACCATTAGTTTAATAGAGATAATTACCATCTAGTTATTTCATATATTGCCTAAAGTTAGATTTTGGTAGGTGCTCATTAATTTATGTTATTCTGCTATATATAATGGTTGACAAGTACATTTTCAACTTCCTGGAAGCTTAGAATTTCGATGTGGTCCTTACATTTTCATTAGACCGTATAGTTCAGCAAATTGTTTTCACAGTTATTAACAACTACTATATAACTGGTTGCCAAGCTCAACTTGGAGAATTTGTATCGGTGAAGCAGTGGCTTAGCTATTAAGACGAGCTAGTTTCAACTGCCAGGTCACAGACTAGAGTTTCCTCCCATTTTAGTCTGGGTAACCGGATAATATCACCAGGCGTCAAAGTTGAGTACACGAATATATACTTGGTGGGTTGCTTTATCATCCTAAAAGCAACGTGTTAGATGACTAAACATTTGATAATCATGTTTGAGATATTGTCTATGTAAATGAAAAATCTCGAAAAAATTTAATGTGTGGGAATTGTTTCGTAAGATACAATCTTGTAGGTAACATATTTAGGAAGCGTATTTTAACATTATTCGGATATTATTTTAGTGTTGAGTAAAATATTATAGAGGATTCCATGGATCTCTGTTTTATGCTTCAACATGTAGTCTTCATCATTCAGTATCTCTGACTCATCTTAGTATCTTGAAGACATTTTCACCGATCAATAGTATACTCAACACCAAAGATACATCTTGACCAGTGATTGTCTAGATTCAAGCTTTCTAAAGTAGCCAAATAATAATATTATTTATGCCCTGGTATGGCCGAGAGTGGGGTGGGTTCGCCCTCCCTCTCGAAATACTCTCACACGGCCACGTGTTGTTTACGAAAATGAGAGGACGAAAAGCGAACGTCCGGCGCTATAACCGGATCCCAAATCAATGGTGCACATGGGCTCTAGTATCCTGAGGGAACAAATGGCGTATGAACCGATTTCTTGGTCAACGGCTACCATGGGACTGCATCTCCTCACGATGCTCCACTGCCTTGTGGGTTAGACCTTTAGGTCGAAGGCTCGGGGTGTGGCCCCCTAAGAAAACCACCTGCTTCGGTCTGGGAACCCGGGCAGTATCACAGCCCACACACAAATATAATGAAAATGATGATATTCTTCGAAAACTCTATTCTCGCCGCGATTTACTGTCAAACAATTCACATTATTATTATTATTATTATTATTATTATTATTATTATTATTATTAGTAGTAGTAGTAGTAGTAGTAGTAGTAGTAGTAGTAGTAGTATTAGTATCGGTATTGATATTATTATTATTATTATTATTATTATTATTATTATTATTATTATTACTATTTACCACGTCATTTATTCACTCTCTTTTATTTATTATTATTATTATTATTATTATTACTATTTACCACGTCATTTATTCACTCTCTTTTATTTCCACTCTGTCTATCCTTATTTTTCGACTTCTACAGCAGCTCGCCTATGGTGGACATTCGGCTCTATCTAAACGTTCTCGTGTCACTGCCTGGTTGAAAATTGTATGTTACCATCGAATAAGAGTACTGAAGCAGTTTTTCTGAAACCATGTTCACCATTCAAACTGGCTGACTTCAACGTTCGCACACTTATGCAGGTCGGACAACAGATAGGGCTAGTTATGTCTTTGGAAAGTCTTAATGTTGACGTCCGTTGTCTATCCGAGACCCGTATTCAAGACTCTGGTGAAGTACTACAAATTCACTCTCCCTATGTCGCTTCAAAAAGCTTGTTTTACGTGCGTTTATCCGGAGACCCTGTGGCATCTTCGTCTGGTCTTGGTGGCGTTGGTGTCGCACTAAGCGCTAGAGCTGAGGCAGCACTAATCGACTGGATCCCCATTAGATTAGAGAGTTCCATCAAAGTGAGAAGAAGTCGATGTGAGAAACGATGCCTTTTCGTCGCCTCCGCCTATGACCCGACAAATTGCAGCCCTGATGCAATCAAGGATGAATTGTACCACCAGTTAACTGTTCTCCAGAAAGTGCGTTCGACAGATATTGTAGTACTAGCCGGAGACTTGAATGCTCAGGTTGTGCGTCTAGGCACTGAAGAGAGTCGTTTAGGTGGCCGATGGGAACTCGTTGGTCGCAGGACAGATAACGGGGAACGTCTACTGCAACTGTGCACAGACCACAATCTGTTTCTGGCTAGCACTAACTTTCGGCACAGTCATCGCCGATGTGCCACCTAGCGTCCCCCTTCTGCATCTCAAGCCTAGACTCAGATTGATCACATCGCGATCAGCGAGAAGCCTGGTGGTCGGAGCGTGCTAATGAGCTGGAAGCAGCAGCTGCATCTGGTAATTACCGGAAGCTCTTCCAACTCATCCGAGCCACTGACAGCAAGAAGTCTGGTGTGAGCGAAACAGTCTGCGAGGATGACGGAACGCCAATCACTAACATCCATCGGCGTCTTGGACGATGGACAGAATTCTTCGAATGGCAGTTCAACTGGCCTGCTGCTCCGGCAACATCGGCCAGACTGTCCTGCCCTCCATGGCCGGTGACGACTGATCCACCAAATGAGGCGGAAGTCCGCAAGGAACTCTAACTCTTGAAACGTTACAAATCACCGGGCCCAGACGACTTACCCCCGGCTCTTTTTAAAGATGGTGGTGACTTTCTGACTAAGGGACTGAAGACGTTGTTTACAAAGGTCTGGGAACTAGGGAGTGTACCAACGTCATGGAATGAGTCGATAGTTGTCCCTATCTTTAAAAAGGGTTCATGTCGTTCCTGTAACAACTATCGGGAGATAAGCCTACTTCCGATTGCGTCCAAGCTATTGGTTTCCGTTATACTTCGTAGGTTGTTCAAAATCCGAGAAGGATTTACTCGCGAGCAGCAGGCTGGGTTTTGTTCTGGTCGAGGATGTATTGATCATATCTTCACTCTCCTCCAAATGTTAGAACACCGCCATACTTATCAAAGGCCAACAATCGTAGTGTTTCTTGATATCAGGGCTGCCTTCGATTCGTCGGATAGGACTGTTCTCTGGGAGTGTCTATTGAAGAAGGGTGTGCCTGAGAAGTTTATTAACATCCTAAAAGCCCTATATACAAACACCGCAGGCAGTGTGAGGGCATACAACCACCTTTCTCCATTATTCCATTCGAGCAGTGGAGTTAGGCAGGGTTGCCCAATCTCACCATTCCTTTTCAACTATGCCATCGATGACATTCTGGAAACAGCTCTGATGGATGTAAGTAATGGTGGTGTGGATCTGTTGCCTGGAGAAAGACTTCTCGACCTTGAGTATGCGGATGATATTGTCTTACTGTGCGAGAATGTTCAAGCCATGCAATCCGCACTTAATCAGTTGGCAATCAATGTCCGTAGGGATGGTATGTGCTTCGCACCTTCGAAGTGCAAAGTACTTCTACAAGACTGGCAGGATTCTAATCCTGTACTCACTCTGGATGGTGATAGAAGTCGTCGAGAAGTTCGTGTATCTAGGTAGCTGCATAAGTGCTGGTGGTGGCGTGAGTGATGAGATCAATGTACGTATAGTGAAAGCCAGAGCGGCTTATGCCAATCTGGGCCATCTTTGGCGTCTTCGTGATGTTTGTCTGACTGTAAAACGTCGGATCTACAACGCGTCGGTGAGAGCAGTTTTGCTCTATGCTTGTGAAACCTGGCCTCTCCGAGTTGAGGATGTTAGACGACTCTCTGTGTTCGGTCATCGCTGTCTCCGAAGGATTGCTGATATCTAGTGGCAACACCATGTTAGTAATGCAGAGGTTCGGCATCGTGTGTTCGGGTACAGAGACGATAATTCCATTGGTGTCACCATCTTGAAACACCGACGTCGGTGCCTTGGACATGTTCTACGAATGTCGTCCCAGAGAATTCCTCGTCGTGCATGATTTGCCGACTCTGGGACTGGTTGGAAAAAGCGGATAGGTGGTCAGTATATGACATGGTGTCGTGGTATGAAAAAAACTGCAAAGGAATGGCTTGTTTTGGTCCTTCACGACTCCCTGGCTGGGGTCCAAGAGACGGTGTAACACAGTGGCTAGAGACGTTATCAGATATGGCTCAGAATCGAAGCCAGTGGTGATCCTACTGTAACCTTGTTTTACTTTCTTCATGTAAGCGATTGTATCTTCCTTAACTGTAAGATTTCTTCTGCGTGTACTTCTCGTCTCCCTCATTATTGTTCTCTTTTTTTATAATTCCCTACTTTCCTTACCTTTTTTTCCCTTCTTAAATTCTCATTGTTTTGTGTGGCGCATATATATTTGGTGCTCCCCTGTACCAATATTTATGTGTTCAAATAAATAAATAATAAATGCAGATGTTCTTTTTTCACGGATCGACATCGTTTGCGGAGCCAATGAAAACCTAGGAGTACTGGATGACATGTCTTATCCTAGTTTTAGAGTATTCAAAAGTACGCATTTACTACTCAATCAGAAACTCAATGCATGGCTTTTAGATCTTGTAGCGAGTGGGTTATCAAAGACCACTGAGATGAAATTCAGTATTTGTACTCTTTTCCGTTAAAGTTTTTCATATTAGTTTACATTGTTATTCATGTTCATCTGTCTTGTGCGTATGCATCTGTCAATTATGTTTTCATGAAACACGGAAGTACTGTTTTTCTTAATTATAAATGTAAATTGTAAGCTAAATGAACTGAGAGTTGATTTATTTCATTTTTTTCGTGGAAATAATTAGTTCTATGTGCTTATTTTGACTAAACAAATTTTAATTTTCTCTTTTTTCATAGCTTCTGCTATACCTAACTCGAATTATTCTCGACGTAGCTTCTTGAGTAATTCTACAGTAATTCCTTCGTCTAATACACATTGGCATCATTCTACGACGTCATTTCATAGACAACGCAATTCTAGTTCAAGCAGTACAAATTGTAACGTGTTTGATAATAATTTATTCTTATTGTCATCTATAAATTTAGGTTATCCAGATCCATTGATAAGTTATAACCCATTTCTTTTGGATGATCCGGAATTATTAGTTTCAACAGGGAAACGTGTATTAAAACTTCCGAACTATTTGGTGAGTTATTTAAATTGTTCGTACAGTTGGTCGTCTATCATTTCTGTGTCGCTATTTTGTTACTGATGCTTACGTGACTGAGTGGATTGATGCAATTTAATAGTGATAAATGGTAGATTAAATTAGAAAAAATAAAACAATTTAAGCTACAGTTGATCCTACTCAATACTTTATGTCTGATTGAGCCTTACATCTGATCTGGGACTGTGGCAGTGCTGATATCAAAGTTTGTAAACTTTCTTAACTTGGCTCTATACACTGATCAATCTGGTTTAAATATCTGTTTACCTTTCACTTTTATGGGAACATCTTTGTTAAGTGTAAGGAGAAAATAAGACTTCTGGGAAATGTTATAATTAATTACGCGATTTTCTGACCTAACATTTTTTTAGTTAATGGGACTATACTTTCTTATACAAAAATTTTGACTGGACTGCGAATTATAGGAAACATTCTAATTACTACAGTTTAGTTGAGATCCCTACCAAACGTTCTTCATTCTCCTACTTATTAGATATGGTCGATAGAAAACCCTGTATCTAGGTTTCCAGCTGAACGGAGTAACTGTTTTCTCATTTCCAAAGATTGAGCAGTTGTACTTTTGTAAGATATTCACTGTTTGTCAACAGTTATGTTGGTGAACAATGCTCTCCATTTGGATTAAGCCAGTTTCAAGCAATGTAGGACCCGTGGTACATTTGTGCATCGGTTCAAGTTCCCACGCCATATGAAGCAAAACAGTAAGCTGGAATTATCATGATTAATGCCAAAATAGTAAAAGTGGTAACCATATCAGTGGTGGTGAGAAACATTTAGCATAGGCTTTACGATGCAAGAAAAAAGAATAGATTTGTAGAACAAAAGTGAAAAATCTATTTTGAGTCATTTCACCAAACGTCTACAATATCTTTCATATTTATCGCGCGAACTATCATAATTCAATCCAATAGTCAGCGACTTCTTGGACTGATATTACGTCTTCGTTTGACCACCCCTAACTTTCTTACTATCTTCTATAGCAGCAAACATTGCACGTCTAGGTAAGCAGTGGGTGATCTTATGTAATACATGTCTCAACCATCTCAATTGATGATTCTTAAGCGTGTTCTTTGTTTGATCTCATTTTAACAGTGAATCACTTCACATCGATTCATTGATTGAATCAAGATCATACTAAACTTTCATAACAAGTGTATGTAATCACTCCTGGTCCATTTTATCAATTTATAGAATTAATCATTTTTTCATACAGAAAACATCTTCTCTGGTGGCTTATGATTTTTCTTGATTTATCAGACTCAACTTAATATATTTCACCAAATTATACTTCTATCATTATGATTTATTTACTGTTTTTCAATTTACTTATGCCATTGCAGACTAGTGTTTTGGGATATATTCGACCGAATGAGCGTAAGCGTGAAGTCAATCGACAATTCCATGAAAGATTTCCATCAATACAAATAACATTAACGAAATTGCGTAGCATAAAATTAGTATTGGTACAAATTGCTCAACGCGTTAGTTGTTCTTTTTTTAAATTTCTAATTGAGTGGTGTAGTTTGAATTTATTTTTTTGTGGCTTAATTTTTTTTACCGAGATGCTTATATTTATTCAAATAAAATCAGAATATTTAAAAAAAATTTCAAACTTAACTGTTGTCTCAAATACCACTTTAATTCATGGCAGATATTCCTTAAAAATTGTTTGTGGGTATCTTTTCTCAAGAACCACCTGTGTTATTTGCATTCTTAAAAACATGCTCTTTATTCATTTAAGACATATTTTGTATGCACCTTATCTCATAATTCTGAATAATCGCAATTAAGTAGTGAATATCAAGTAATCTAACCTTGAATCCACTTTCAATTTATAGCCGTTCCATTACACAAAAATGAATATACTGTATTCGAGGTTTAAAATTTTATGCTCTCCGGAAACTCCGTTTTTAATAATTTCTTCGTTCAGTAAAATGACCGAATGCCCTGGTATGGCCGAGGGTAAGGGGAGTTCGCTCACCCTTTCGAAGTGCCTTTCTATTTCCACGCGTATACATCCACTACCAAGAAAGTCCTATTCTCTGCCTTATCTCGGTGGGGGTGTTTGCGAAAAGCGAATGTTCGACGCTTTCATGGGGTTGGTGGGTAGGAGTAGCTCGAAAACCCTGATCTCGACTAATGGTGTACATAAACTCCAGGATCCTGGGTGGCAAATGGCGTATGAACCTATTCTCAGTCACTGGCTATCAAGGGACCACATCTCCTAACGTTGCTCCTTTGCCTTGTGGATTAGATTTCAAGGTCAAATACTCGGGTAATGCCACCTAAGAAAACCACCTGTTTCAGTTTGGGCTCACGCACAGTATTACAGCCCACACACAAATTGAATGAAAATTATTTTGTATGGTTCCAATGTTTATATGTTTAAATAAATAAATAAAAATAAATAAGACGACCAAAGATGTTTAAACCTATTTTATTGTTCGTTTCACAATAGGGTATGCTCTGTATTAAATTAATTATGTTCTATTTCATTGTTGTTTATTACAAGAGTTTCTGAGTAATTGAATTCATACACAACTTTCGTCAATCGTTATAATTTTCTTCAATGTATCACCTATAATCTACACTATTTGATGTATAATAGATTATTACGTAAATACATCCTAATTATTGTATTCTTTATGCATAGATATATTGGTCATGAATAGATCAATTTTAGACCACCATCGAAAACCTGGAAGCACTGGACGACCGTTTCGTCCTAGCACAGAACTCCTCAATAGTGCGCATCCACAATCCTGCACACGGGATTCGGACTCATGACCTTCTGTCTCGCTCAAACGCTCACCCCCTAGACCACTGAGCTGGCATCCAACGGTGTTAATGTCTTGCTTCAACCAATCCACGGTGTTGAGCGACTTTCCACCATTGTTTTTAGTGAGTGACTGCCTTACAACAGACACGGATTGGACTCCACTAGTCACGGTTTCTCACCAGAACTTCAAGAAATCTATCTTGAAGCCAGTCACTAGTGAACATAGATATATGTACTAAGTCACCATGCACCGTTAATTAGGAGTTACTAATTTATCCCGACTTTCTTTTTGTGTATTTTTAGGAAACTGATTGTTGACATCCTTTGAATTTGATTTAATAATACTTTAACATTCGTTTCTTTTGATTATTATCATCTTAGAAGCGTGATTCAATAATGTTTCACTGATTTCGCTTACATTGTTTGTTATCCCGGCAAATTTATTTTTATTAAATCAGCCGAATAATAGTTTAATTTCAGCTCAGTTCTTTTTGAGTATGTTGTATCCATTAGAGTATCGTAATTTTCTCACTATCATATTCAATCACTTCCCATTCTCATCTACAATGACCTTCACCTAACAAGTTGACAATTTAAACCATAAAACTTCTACTATAAATTTGTTGTTGACCTTATGTCTCTACGTGCTTGCCGTTTTTCATCAGTCTAATGATTAATTAGACCAGATTTTATTCTATTAATAGTAACTGAAACATACGAGCTTCGCGCATAACAAATGAATTTGTCACCTCAATAAATACTTTATGTAAATTCGTTCAACTGATTTTCAAAATGAAATCATTAATCCGATCTTTAACTTGTAAGGCTAAATTTGCATACGATATCATTCTATACTTTGAAAGTTGAGCTACTTATATTCTATTTAGTAATATTATATATTTCATTAAATTGGTATGGTAATATTGATAATAATCTGTAAAATAATTTTGTTCATATGAAATTCTAATTTTCAGTTGTCCATGGACCTATGGATTGTTGCACATGCTCATGTGCTTTTCGAGAAATTAGTACTAAAGGTAACATTTTGTTCATTTTTGTATGGAATGGAAGTAATATATAAATCATACTTTTAGTGAATATTCTAGTGATGAAATCCTGTTGAAATTTTTAGTGTAGGTTATGTTGTCGTTTACTTTCCACTTAGTATTTAAACTTGAAGGTTTCTAAATAAATCATTCAGATTTTAGATAAAACTATTGTTTTGCTCGTTCACTGGTGCTTGGCTAATTCGAAAGAAGAGATCCTGTTTAGTCTACCCAATGTTAATCGATTTTCATGCTGACTTTCGGTTGTATTGTCTTCAGAATTTCAGTAGAAGTATTCTTCTCACATCCTTGTATATTATAGTTATCAAATGTAAAATGATTCTATATTGCTTATTTTAGCATCACATGAAAATCCCAGCTTATTTTCGATTGTGTTATTAGATTATATTTGTTTTTCTAATTTTTGGTGATCAATTTTATTGGGAGTGTGTTGTATGGCAGTAATTTTACATATTTTCTTCTGACAACTAATTCACATTCATTATCCCCTGGCACATCCCTTATCATACGTCATGTTGTATTAGCTTACTTCTTATTCTTATTTTTTTAGCTACTATTAAAATTAAGTAATATGAGGTTGTAATATAGATCACTCGCTTAGCTATTGTGTTGGCTGCTGATACCCACGAATTCTTCATATCGAATATTTCCATATTAAAAAAAGTCCTGCTTAGGGTGTTAAACTTTGTAGAATGTCTACTTTCATAAATCTTCAGTATATATACATCATCATGGATATATTTGTCCGGAAATATTACATAGTTTACACCTGTTATATATTGGGACAGCCGATTAGAGGGCAGTGAATTTTGATCGTACCAAGGTCGCGTAAAACACGTGCGAGCAGCCTAGAGTTCTTATTGGCCCTGCTTTCCGCCTAGCCCAGCCAGTTAAGTCCAGAACTCCAATATCAGCCTCTGCAATATGAATCATTATATTTAGACATACTGAGTTTATATACCAATCAAACAAACCACAACGTAGCATAAAATAGAAAATAACATCCGTACAAAATTTGGCCAAATGTGGCTGTGAATGCGGGAGGCAGTGACTAATAGACAGGGCATAATTCAAGAATGGTAAAACTTATGATAATGGTTCATAGGCCAAAATAAAGCTTATAATAAGAGGAACATGAATATGAATAGTTTATTTATCTAACAATTATACGATAAAAATATACGTTTAGTATTGGTCCACAAATGGATCCCAAAATTACCATTCATTATTCTTGTCGGGACATAACAACATCACAATATTCATTATGGGTTGGATGTACAGAAAAATTCCAGTATTTCAAATACTTTTAATGTCAGATTTTCCTATCAGAACTATTCAATTTTTTACACTTTATTTAGATTTTCTGTGAAAAGCGTTTGTATAAAAATTACGTTTATCAATCGGTTTAGACCGGGATAATTTTTGAAATACACTATCCTGTAAGCCATTTACATTTTCTTATTCAGCAAATTATGCAGAAATTTCGTTTCTCTCCCAGCAAATCCGTTTATAGTTTACTGTTTTCCAACATATTTCTGATTGAACTTCCGCAATTCATGATAGTATTCTCAGAGGTACCATTTATATGTATAGTAGACCTTGTTGTAATATGTATTTTTTGTCATCAATTAATTTATTTAACAGAGGAACTGAATCTTAATATTCAAGTTACGTATCAAGTTCCTTGTCAAATAAACTACATAATTAAACGGTTTACCATCTCATTTTTTGAATATATAGGACTCAAATTGCTATGCTTTGCAGATTGGTTGTTATTTTTAAATAGATTTTCGTTTTATGTCCGAAATTTTTCTATCTACTCACACGATATATTCTAACCCTAACCTTTTCAAAGAACTCTTGAATCGACCAGCTCCACTGAACCCACCCAACATCGAAGCAGCACTCACGGACCTCCCAATCGATGTTGGCCGACCAACAATTGAAGAGATCAGCATGGCTATCAGACAAATCAAGAGTGGCAAAGCAGCAGGACTAGACAGCATTCCAGCAGAGGCACTGAAAGCAGACGTAGCGGTAACTGCAAGGATACTCCAAACTTTCTTCAGAAAGATTTGGGTTGAGGAACAGATACCAAAAGACTGGAAAGAAGGGCTATTAGTCAAAATACCATAGAAGGTGATCTCAGCAACTGTAATAACTACAGGGGAATCACTCTTCTCTCAGTACCAGGAGAAGTCTTCAACAGGGTATTGTTAAACAGGATGAAGGACTCCGTAGACGCACAACTTCGCGACCAACAGTCATGATTCCGTAAGGATAGGTCGTGCACAGACCAAATCGCAACTTTACGGATCATTGTGGAACAATCAATTGAATGCAAGAGCAGCATACTTACAACTGAACAACATCTGGAACTCATAACAACTGTCTGTCAACCAACACCAAAGTCAGAATTTTCAATACAAATGTCAAGACAGTTCTACTGTATGGGGCGGAAACCTGGAAAACTACGAAATCCATCATCCAAAAGATACAGGTGTTTATTAACAGTTGTCTACGCAAAATACTTCAGATCCGTTGGCCGGACACTATTAGCAACAACCTACTGTGGGAGAGAACAAATGAGATCCCAGTGGAGGAAGAAATCAGGAAGACGCGCTGGAAGTGGATAGGACACACATTGAGGAAAGCACCGAACTGCGTCACAAGATAAGCCCTCACATGGAAGACCAAAGAACACATTACGCCGAGAAATGGAGATAGATATGAGAAAAATGAACAAGAATTGGATGGAACTAGAAAAGATGGTCCAGGACAGAGTGAGTTGGAGAATGCTGGTCAGCGGCCTATGCTCCATTGGGAGTAACAGGCGTAAGTAAGTAAGTAATTCTCTCTCAGATAGTACGAACTACGTAAACATAAGTTACGTAAGGATGCTTTATTCGAACACCGGGAATTCTCATAATTATTAATGTCTAACGTTGTGAGATGTTGATCGAATTTTGATTATGAAAACTAAATGAATTTATTATATATATGTTCCAACAATGAATGATGTTAGTTTTCTCATGAAATTATCGATTGATGATTACCTTTTTATTCGTTCGTAATATTAACCAACCTAGTGGATGTTATTTGGTTTTTCTAATTAACAACAACTCTTAAGTAATTGTTCGGAGGGGCCGGTGGTGGAGACTGCTTTATTTCTCAGAAATTCAACCACTATCGGTTGAAAATAGGATCTTTATTTTGAAGATTTAAATCCACGCACTTAAACCCAATATTCTCGTTCCTGGCTACTTGAAGTGTGACATTTCAGTGACTGATTTTCAAACTCTTAACTTTCTGTAAATTAACTCACAAATTTATGTTTCTTATTGATTGTTAGTGATGGAATATAAATTCTTCAGTTTATGAGACTTCACTTATTTGGGATGAGGAGGAAGAAATGTTAGTGCGGTAGTATGTAATTTAATCATTAATGGTTGTGTAATTGAGTTTTACAGTTGCATTATGTATCAGTTGTACTATACAATAACTATTTAAAAAACCAAATTATCCTATCTTTTAATTTTATGGTTCCTTGTTGTGTACTTTGCTTGAAGAAGTAAAGAAAATATCTTATTGTTTTATCTCTCCCATTTCGGTTTATAGTTGTTTTTAACAAAATTGAATAGAAGATTATGTGCTTCAGCTTCACTCTTGATCAGTGCGAAACTGAATGATGTAAAAGGTTCACAATTATATGGTTTACTTCAAGTAAGTTCTTGTATCTATACGTGGTTGATGTTCAAAGAATTCTTTAGATGTTCTTGTCTGACTATGATATTAAATAACAGCAAATATCTCTATCGTTCTGTATTTTGACTGAAAAATATTTTTGAACGCGATGAAGATGAATAATGTTTTAACTATACTAAATTCCCGAATTAATTAGTAATTTAGTCGTTGAATTTATGAGTCGATTTAAGCCAGACCACCATGGAAAACCTGAAAGCACTGTACTTTCTAGATATTTCTACCAAGATCCTACTCAACGCTGATTAGATGAAACTTTGACAAGTGATACTGTAGGATTTCTTTAACAAGTAACTTCATCATCAGTTTATGCACTTCGAAATCCTGGATCGCCTCTAGGAAACTCAACTTATGTATTCAAAAGAAGTCTATTCAGCTCCTCTGTTTGCTAGGGTTCACGTTCGACTCATACCATACATAAGACACATTGTAAATTCTTACCTCACAATCTTTGTATGTTTATTTCCTCCGTGCCCATTCTTAATTCGTAAATAATTTATTTTACTATACTAGTTGCAACTCAACATCATACAATGAATTTGCCTACATCATTTTTAAATAACCTTTCAACTCTATAAATGACACATTCTAGACGTCCATAATTTATAATCAATGTAAAGTTCACTATTTTAACTCGTTACATTATCGAATTGACTTATGTGTGGCTTATTTTTATCATCATAACACGATTCGGATGGTGAAATCCCTTGTTTTCGAATTAAATATCTTGTTTTTGTTTTCTCGATTATCCCTATCTTTTAAATGATTAACAAAATCCGTTTTTGACCATTCATATCGCCCTTTGCCTTTCTTAGTTTCGTCTTATAGTCATTCAGATTCTATGAAATTTTCAAGATAATTGTTTATCCATACATTAGTTGGAATACATTTATAGTAGGTTGTCTTATAAATCACCTGAATGCTTATGTTGATGAAACTGATTAATGGGTAATAGAGTCGGAGTTCTTTTTCTGTGTAAATGAGTCACTTGATAAAATGTTAGCCTATCGACTACAATTACCAAGAAGTGTTCCACTTATTTTAATTTTGAATGCATGTAACAAATATCTTAGGACTTCTTATTTCGATATGGAATGGTACCTTACATAGGAATGGATTGAAAATGATCTGGAAGCTTAAGCCGTACGGAGGAGGTGCGGAATTTATAGTCAGATACTTAATAACAGCCACAATATTTTATTTTACAAGTTTGGTGACATAACCCGTGGCGTTATTGCAGCTATATTTTCTAGCTTCCGAGTCTTCTCAGTGTCAGTTGTATACTTTTTATTTATTGATCTCGTTTATTCCTTTGGAATTATATTTAGCTGTCCATTACAATTGATGCTGTTTGTCTTCTAGTGTTTCTTTTCTCATCTAAAATTTTTTAATCTATTGAGGCACAATTTGTAACACGTGGATATCATTTAAGCAAAAAATGTCACTTAATGTATGAGTATTTGAAATCGTATTACTAATTATTTTATGAACTTCTTACAAAACATCTGTTTATTTTGGTACTAATTACGTTTCTAAAACATTTTTGAACAGTAGATGGTTTATTTGTTCATGTGTAATATGTGAAACCATTCTTCTATTGTTGTCTGAGTCATTCTGGTATGAAATTTCATTTTTTGTCTCATTAAGTTATCATATTTTAATTTTCATCTTTTTGGTATGAGATTTATTATCACTTTTGTTGTATATGGTTTTTTTCAACGTTCCTTTTTCTTTATTTCTTCTTTTTAGGAATTGGAAACAGCTTTTCGTATCTCACGTCGGGATTTAATCAACACAGAATTAGATGTTGCATTGGGTTTAGAGTTTTCTCTAATTCCATCTGAATATGAAATTCTACCACATTATCAAAGGTTATATAAAAGTCTGAATTTAACTTTACCATTTCTACCGGTTGTGCTAACCACGAATAATACTATTGGTGTTAATTCCTGTGTTGTTACATCGAGTAATATAAATAATAATATTCATGATGATGATAATAATAATGTTAATAATAACAATGTTAATTGTACAATGAATGCCGAAAATCAACCATGTCTTGTATATACTGCTTCATCAAATATTTGCAGCACATAAATGGATCATTCAGTCACAAATTTATCACTTAGCCAATGTAATTGTATTGAAATATGAGTATCTTACTGTCTTCATGGTTGTTGTTCTTGAAATAACCCCAAATTTTGGTAGACCTGTATATTTTGTGGACTAGATTTATCGATCTCATATCTAGTGCGGCTCACTTTTCGCTGCCTTTTAGTACTATTATGTCACATTCCTTTTGCTGTTGTCACTACTCATTTATACCGTCATGATGATTATCCATTCTGGTCTATCAAATTTCTTCTTAGTTCCTTACTGTTTTTTTTTCTTCCTCGCTGATACTTTTATATCTGAGTGAACATAAATAATTGGTTTGACTATATCGGTTTAAGTGTGTTTTTGTTCTTTGTTTCACATTACTCTTGTTATTGTTTCTTGTTCCTGTTTTGTGAATATTTCAACGTATTCATGAGGATGTGCAAGGTTACTACTAACTACATTTGTATGTTTTTCAGTGTGCATCTCATGTACTTACATACAATTTGTTTCCTATCGAATATAAATTATGAATTATTAATTTATTTACTTATAAGTTGTATACATAATCCATTATCTGTTATTACATGCTACATAACATATTGGTGAAAAAGTCTTTTCAGTCGAACTATGTATTATGATCATGTTATGTATCAACCACCTTAGTGATAAAGAGTTGGTCTAAAGTTTTTTACTTATCGGCACTACTTATTAAGATGTACCGTATTTTTTCTCACTATGAGTTGTTTTTTAGATTTTCATTGAATTTGGTCGTCTATAGCTAGCTTAAACAAAATTTCCATGATATTTATCATATCAGAGTTAGAATACTTATATAGTTTTAAGTCAACCATACAACTGTAAACACCAACCATCAAACCAATCGGATTCAACGTAAAAAAATAGTTTTCCTGTAGTGTTTAATGAATACAATGCCAGTTTTAAAGGATTGCTAAGTAACTCTTCAAAATTAAGTTGATCGTTGTGATTTACCTCAAAGTTTGATAGGACATGAATGAAGATAAGTCTGAACTATTGTTTTTCAATATTTTGGCATTTTGATCATTGTTCTATCAGTCCATAGGAGGAGAAATCTACTCTAAATAACTTCGTAAACCTCTTGATATAAGAAAAAATAATAATTTACATCCTATTGTGGATCAAAAAATATATTGGAATGTTATAAACTTGGATTTCGCAAATATCAACACCGTAGTAACGTAAATGTTAACTAGATTAAAGAGCGCACACATTTCTATTCAACACTATGTCCTTTATACAATTGGCCAAGTCTGTGAGTACCAAGAAGACAAAGAGGACACAAAGCACCAACTCTATGTAAACAATACGTTAATCAGAAAATGAAATTTCATTCATATATTAGCGTATGTGTATCGACAAGCCTGCCGTTGATTTTATAGACAAGTCGTCTGATGACTTACTCGGTAGTTTCTATCTTTTTGTCTAGTCAACGTGTCGTCCTCCACAAATTAAAGTGCTCTAGCGAATGTTACATGTCTGAATCAGTTCACCATATACGTTACCTAGCCAACATGGTAGTGTAGGTTGTTGCTGGTTGTTTTATACGTTGTACTTCGAGTAAGCTTATAGTTTTGGTTTATTTTTGTTTAACCTTTATATCGCAAAGTTGAACCTCAGTTCAGATCACATAACGTTTATTTAAGTACAGAAAGGCCACTATTCAATAAGTAATGTCGTGTTGAAATACTGAACCCTTAGGTATGGAAATATTTAACATGATAAATTGCAGTGAATTCTATACCTCGAATTATTTTCTATCGAAATTGACCAGCAAACATGTTATGCCACCGTATAACGAGGGCAATCTATGTGACTTTATTACAACTAAGTGAAAGCGGTTTTAGAGTTTACTCATCTCTTTGTTTATCAAAGATTGCTTCAATGACAAATCAACAATGAACATGTTACAGTTTTTTTACATTCTGATTAAACAATAAAATGTATTTTGAAATGGATGAAATCAATTTTAACAGTTTATGTTTACGTGTCATCGTCTAATATTTCGATCACTTTTACCCTTACACGAACGTCTTTTAAATTATGTAGGTATTAAGGTTAACTAAATTTTGTTTAATTACTCATTGGAGACGTGAAATAAACCTGTTGAATTTATTTTTTTATAACTCTTAAAGCTTATTTCACCTTAATGACAATGTGGCAATGAAAATAATAATAGTAATAGTTTTATCTATTACTACATGTTTGATCACAATAAAATTGCTCAAAAGGAAGAATTATGACACATCATAAGCCGAGATTTTTCAGAAGTCACGAGACCGATACCCCTTCCACCAAACAGAGCAACAACTTTCATAGGTACATGGAATGTCCGGACATTATGGGAGACCAGAAGGACCAGTCAAATAGCAACGGAAATGAGGAGATACAACTTGGCGGTTCTCGAAATCAGCGAAGCCCAGGGGACCCACGCTGAAAAGCAAAGGCTAGGTACGGTAGAGATGCTGCTGTACTCCGGTCACGAAGAGGAAAATGCTATGCACACTTAAGAAGTTGCTCTAATGCTGTCCAAAGAAGCACGAAATGCATTTATAAGATCATCAAAGTATCCTTCAAAACAAAGAAGGATGGAAGCCAATGTTATGCACTCACCTATGATGGTAGTGACGACGATTTAGTTCACTTTTATGAGAGACTGCAATCAGTTATGGCGGAATACCCAAGAAACGATCTCAACACCCTGGTGGGAGACCTAAACACCAAAGTCGGAATGGACAACACCGGATTCGGAGATATCACGGGACGACATGGACTGACTGAGAGAGAGAAGCGAAAATGGTGAGAGATTTGCAAATCTATGTTTACCCAACAAGTTGGTTATAGGCGGCACAGTATTCCCACACAAACGCATACACATCACACAGAATCAAATATATCGTATTTGTATCAATAAAATGTTGAGAAGGACAATAGAAGACGTGAGAACCAGGAGAGTAGCTGACGTAATATCAGATCACAACTTGGTTGTGGCCAAGATGTAGATGAAGCTGAACAAACACTGGACGGTTGGAGAAACAGCAGCACAAAATTTCAATATAGCCTTCTTACAAGATACTGACAAACTCAACCAATTCAAGTTAACTCTCAATAACAGGTTCCAAACCCTACACGATCTACTGAAAGAAGAAGAGACTACTAAGAAAGACAACTGGAAAAGGATCAGAGATGCACCAACTTCAACGTGTCAGGAGGTTCTGGGCCGCAAGAAGCATCATCATAAGCAACAGATCTCTATCGAAACTGTGGACAAGGTTCAAAAAAGGAAGAACAAGAAGATAGTAATTAGCAGACCGAATTGTGACAATACTAACCATTGTTGAGTAATCAAGTTGATAGGACTCGCTGCTATACATCAACATCTTTCATTATGAGCAAGCATTTGACAGTGTGGATAAGAGGACCTGATGGAACCTTGTTCGATACTATGGAGTACCTGAGAAAACCGTCAGTATCATCCGGAATTCATACGACGGACTAAACTGTAAAGTCATGTAGGACAGCTGACAGATGCATTCCAAGTAAGGACCGGAGTCAGAAAAGGCTGCGTACTCTCACCCTTTCTCTTTCTTCTGGTGGTTGACTGGATTATGAAGAGTTACAGTTTTCTTTAAATCATCCAGTAATCTGTTCCTTGATGCTATTGTCACTGAAGCAGGAATACTTATTGCTGTGAATTGTATAATAAGAGATGACATGAAAGTTTTAGTGAGGTGAAATAGAAAAATAATCAGTACTGACACTTAATTCATAATATGGAGAAAGAGATGGATTCAACTGTTCTATAGCAATTGACTTTAAGATGTGACGTCGATTGAGACACAACCAGGAACCCTTCACTTACCGACGTGAAACAACTCGCTGATAAAACGCTTCATGGATTGTCAATATCCTTTGACCTGTCTGACATTAACTTTCTTTCAATCTGCACCCACATGGGTCAGGATTGGTTTTTGATGGAGGTGCATTTACCTAGCACACCTGTATCTAATTTTAGCTTCAGTCTGTGATTTCACTATATATCGGCTCCTAAAAGAAGACTGGATAATTTGTATACTACTCTTAGTTGATTTGTCAAAGTTTATGAAGTGAAGAAAGGAATACGGAAGTAACGACGAACAATGGAGGTAATTTCTCGGGTCAGTGTATCGTTTAATCCGAAGTCTGTAAAGCCTTTACTTCTAGTATTGTGTTTGCTTTATTTTATATCATAATGTTTCGTTTAATGTGTAAATTACTGTAACATTCATTCCTATTCCAAAATTATTGTCATTTAGATATGATCTTTGAATTTCACTTTTAACACTGATGTCCTAGTTTGGATATGATTGTATTTTTCTAATCCCTTTGAGTTGTGGTCTTGTTAGTCACATAGTTGTTCATATGCCTTTATGAGTTGGTTTAAATCAGTAATAAACCAGATACCAGTTCTATCTAAACCGCCTTCTCGTCTCATTTATTGACCAATCAGGTCCTAGGTCAATGGTGAGATAGCTTTCTTCGTTCTGCCCCCAGAGTCGTTCAGTCGCAGTTGAACTCACTGGTTCAAAGTTTCAAGGTATTTATTAAGTAGTCTACCGCGTTAAGGCCGTAAACTAAACCAAAGTAATTCCTTCTCTATCTCTCTGCATATTAAGCACAGACTAGTGGGTAAATATCAATCACGTATCAAAAGTGGAGACGTATGTTTTTTCATTATTCAAAAAGAAAATTTCTACCTCTTCGGACGACTTGAAAATTGCCTTACAAATTCATCAAGCACAAAGTAATTGAAATCAAATGAAGGTTTTGAAAGTATTGACTCAGAAGCTTTCAATTCATTCATTCTGCTCTCTCAGCCAGAGATATATAAAAGCATATCAAATTCCATATATGACTTCAGTTATGATTCGCAGTCTGAGATCATATTTGATTCCTGATTTCATCGTTTGGAAGACGTTTTC